TAAGCAAACCAAAAAAATTGGAAATGATGACACAAGTTCTGTGGAACATCGCTCATTTTTTTTCTTTTTGATTATTCATAAAAAATAAAAAAAAAGCAAAGCTATATTTTTATTTGCTTAGTTTTGAAATTTTAATCAGACTGAGAAAGAGTTTATATTCTCTTGGACTGAGTGATATCTGACATCAACTCCCCAATGGATCCTCTGAAAATAAGAGTGCACTTCTACTTGTACCCCTCAGTAAAAAAAAAAAAAAAAAAAAAAAAAAAAAAAAAGCAGGTCTGGGCGATAAAAAGTGACAGTTTGTGTCATTTACTGAGTTGATGCATTTTTTTTAATGGATCTATTCCGTGTATGTCAAGGATAAGTATAAATTAATTTCGAAGTCGACGTTTATTTGCATAATTTTTTTAACTTAGAAATGCTCCTACATGAATGGAAGTTTATTTAAACTAGATAATTAACTCTAAATCAATTAAATTTGCAAGTAATTTTGAAAAACAGTCTTCGACACAAAATACTTCGTATTTTTTTTTCGATGGAAGAGACACGAAAGGTATATTTATATAATTTTACACCTGCGTTTTAGCTTTCCGAACTTGACGCCTAAAACGTTGAAGCAAACATTACCAGCTGACGAACCAAGTTGTCCTTTAGTTTAGGAAAAAGTAGAAAATATATCTTATCAACTTCTAATTAATGCGCACTCGATCATATCTTTATCGCATGCTAGACTGCGCAATATAAGAAATAAACATCATTAATTAATAATTTTTGATTTTTTTTTACGTGATCACTTTATAGATGGACATGAATAGCAAATAAGTTTTTAAGGACAAGAGACCTGAACCCGGGTATAAATGGCGAATGCAACAGGGGAGTTACCATTAAGAACATTTTTTTCCTGCTCCAGTGATCCGAAAGGACTACTAATCTACATTCTGTCATCCGTGAGTGTTCTTATAGCGATCACATCTTTTCCTGGAAACCTCTTGATAATCGTCGTTCTTCGAAGGATTACATCGATTCATCCACCATCAAAACTTTTATACAGCTCTTTGGCTTCCACCGATCTTTGCGTCGGCATCATATTACAGCCTTTGTCAATTGTTTATTTGTTGTCTCTAGAGGTCTCCGATCTCTGTAGCCATATTGGATCCACCTTCTCAGCTGTAGCCTTAGCCCTTTGCGGAGTATCTTTGCTCACATCCACTGCAATTAGCTTTGACAGATTTTTCGCCCTGAAACTTGGGATAAGATACAGGCATTATATAACAAAGGAGCTGATCTGGGCCTTCGTATTTATTTCTTGGCTTGTTAGCTGTGGCAATGCAGTCCTATATCTATACGAAAGTGATGTCTTTGCATATACAACCACTGCAGCTGTGTTTTTGTGCGTATCAACGTCAGTGTTTAGTTACGTAAAAATCTACCGCGCACTTCGCTACCATCAAACGCAAGTACAACAACGGCTACATCTCCAGCAGCCCAATAGAAGAGTTATTCCAATCAATATTGCGCGATACAGAAAGACGGTGTCCAGTGCGCTCTGGGTATCGGCAGTGCTGGTAGCATGTTATCTACCATTCGTCGTAATTATCTTCACAGCTTACTCCTCTGGCATACACTCACCTGTTCTTGCCTTAGCCGCGGATCTAGCAATAACTCTTGTTCAGTTGAATTCTTCTCTGAATCCATTATTGTATTGCTGGAAAATTAAGGAAGTAAGACGAACAGCGATAAACTCACTCAAGCAATTCCTCTGCTGCTAAAGTTTTGTTGATTAATGTAATTTACTCTTGTTTGCCTTTATCCTTTTAAAATCGCTTCCTTTCAAAGAATGCAACGGTAAATTGTGCAAATGTTATAACGTAAGAGAATGAATTGAAGATATTTCCGAAAAAAAAAGGAAAAGAAATTGGTATGCGCCTGCAAATTTTGACTACTTGTAAATTGCCCAAATTACCACAATAAGTATGATCGGCAGTTCTGTAGTAAAACCCAAGATGATAATTTAGCTGATGGTTTGTTCTTCAATTCCCTTGCTTTTCAACTTCTTCGCCTTCTCTTGTTTCCGCGGCATAAGGAGTTAAGTTAAATGAATGCAATCAGTTCTCTTCACGGTGCAACTAAAGTCGAGGATGACAACCAGTAGAGCATTTTTGAGTACTTGTTAAGGCAATTGACGACAGCTATCAATTTAACACATATATACATATATCATAATTTGCATGTAAATAGCTTTTAAGTCATTTTTCACAGAGCAAATGCTTGTCTGCAAAGCATTTTACAGGGAAGAATTGAGACATATTTACCATAAAGCGAACAAAAAGCGTTGGAAAAATAACCACGATGCTTTCAAGACCGCCATTGTATTCCAGGTCAGAGACATTTTCTGTCGGATTATATTGTGGAAAAATTACCCAAATCTTGGCCAATACGATGACAACAAAAAAAAAACCGATAGATTATAAAACAAAGCTGCATGGCGGCTTATCTAATTTAAACTAAAATGATAACTATTCGAATGATTATGACTAAAAGGACCAAATGTACTCCAATTTAGTATTACTCTATTTGTAAAATTGTTCTGAAAATCTAGTAGAGTAAGTATTTTAACAGCTGCATGTTCACTTGAAGGTCAGTTTCACATAATTAATATGAGGAGTGAGACTTTTTTGCCATTGGGAGATCTCGTTGGTGCGTTAGTATCAGTCTGAAGAAAAACTTATTCAGCGGGAAAGATTTACTGATGCTCCGAAAGAAAGGTGAACTGGAAGGATCTACTCGATGATTTCTTAATTTCTGATCAAGGTTGTACTTAATGGCTTATTTTTATTAACTTGAAATACCATTAAAGGAAACTAAATAATAGTTTTCAGCAATGGAAAAAATGGAAAGTCGTTATTTTAAGTTTTTTTGATCGAATGTGTCCGATGCACATGTACACTTCTCGAGTCGCGATTATTCAGCCCCCAGAAGTAACAAGAACATACGTTGAATAACGTCATCTTCGATAGAAAGGCTTAGGTAAATTCGTAAAATGTATGAAGGGTGTAAATTTCTAAAGAAATTGTAGTGCTGTGTCAGGGGGAAATATTACAAGATGATTTGTAATTATCAACTGAGTTGATAATGTAAATTGGCCACCGCAAGAATTTCTAAACCGTTTTTAATTTCTAACCGTCTTCGTCATTCGCTCTGACGAAGGACTAACGCTCAAAAACGTCAGCTTTAGAATCTTTTAACGGAGGCCAATTTACATCATCAACATCCTTGATAAAACCAAAATATTGTGGGTGAATTAGATTCCGTACACGCTCTTAATTTTAGCGATCAAACCAGGGTCAAAGAGGCGACTGCCGCGATTCCCAGTAGGAAGATCTATGTTTGTGTTTCAAGGATCCTGCGTTACAAATGGGTGGAGGAGAAGGTCTCACACAAATAAAGACTAAAGTTCTATCCAAAGATAGATTTTATATCGATTGATAATCATGATTTTTATAATTTTCCAGTGAAAAAAAAGAGAAGTGAATTAGGTCATTTTATATTGAGAAATAAGCATTCCTCCCAAGCATAAGACGTATTTCGTGCCGTGAGAGCTTCTATAGGGGAAATAAGAAAGAAATTTACATTACAGGCAATTAATGTGCGACAAAAACAAGCATTGTCCATGTTTATTGAGGAAGTCCATTATTTAAATGGCCTTATGGTTATTTTGACTGTGAATTCACCTCGGTAAACGTTTGCTCTGACTGACTTCTTCTTTGTGTTTCATACTCTGGTGAGGTGGATTTTCATGGGCAGCAACAGTGAGTAGTTTTTCACCAAAATTTTATAACTAGAATCATTATTGGCGTGACTGGATCTGTAATTACAGGTGAACAAATATCTTACAAAAACAAAGACTCTAATCATAAAAGCTAGATCTCTGCTTGAAGGGAAAACGATTGTAAACTGAGCAAATGTTATATTTCATTATGCAGACGTGATCTTCATCGAAACACCCTGATTATTGTGCTAATTGCAATAAGCGACTTTCACAACAAGAAATAATGCAAAGTACCTTTATTTCGACTGAATCTCTTATGATTAAAAAGACGTTTTGCGGCTGCAAAGCTTTCTCAATCTATTAATTGTCCATTATCATTTATACCTTAATTTATTATTTTTTTATTTTCGTTTAAATTACAAAATTTTATATATCAAGGAATGGTAAAAACAAAAATTTTATCATTTCACGACATTTGCGCATGTTTTCAGTGTACACTATATTGTGTTGAAAAAATTTAAATTCATATCTTATTTAGTCACCAGATAGACATCTCAGGGCTTTTGATTTGCAATTGGTTACCAACACGCTCGAAAGACACACCAGTAAATGGCTCCCTAAAGCGGTGAATTGTTAAAAAAAAGTTATCAAGAGACAATTAAGAGCCAATAAGTCACGAATATACAAAGAAACGAAACATGACAGCATGAATTAGTCGTCTTGTCAGTCGTTTCCTGCCAATATACTCAATTCTCCAACAAAATCGAAATTAAAGTGAGTTATTATTGATATGAAGTTACTGCTGACGTGCAGTTTGGTTTGTCTCTTGCATTATTATTTTGAATTGTTAAAATCAAGCATTTCACAACTGGCATGGTGCTTGTAGAATTGTGAACAGAATTGGCAAATTTGAATAGAAACATAGATGTTATCTTATGAATGACGCCCATTTGCAATTCAAGAAATTTATTAGGACAACAATAAACTAATAGTTATGTGAGTTCACTTAGAGCGGACAACGGAGTTTTTCCTTTAATATGTTTCCGTTGTCTTACAAAACAATCAAAATTTTCAGTGTGTCTGTCTATAGATGGAGACTGAAAACCATGTCCTATGATGTAGTTTAGGGCCTAACATTACGTGACAGAAGGATCGATTCGGCAATGACAGCAATTTAGGCCTGGTCAGCAGCTGTTTCCATAATGTGATTATGCAGCTAGCTATTGAAAGCTTCTTTGTCCACGCTAATATAAGATCCACCGATTTCACGATTTTTCGATCGAGATCATACTCAGGACTCACAACAGCGAAGAGGAATCAAGTAAGTTAAAAATATTATCACGAATTATATCATATTATCACAACAAAACTTTCATCAACTCATGGAGCGTGGATTTTGCCACAGCAAATTAATAAATGAAATTAATAACACTGTAGTTACTCAAATTAAAATCAGAAAAATAGAAGATCCAGCAATTTCAATATTTTGTTGTTCGTTCTCCGAGCTGTTTTCCAGATCTAGCATTTTTTAACTTCTCGAGGGGCGCAAAAGCTGTAAATTATTCAATAGTTTAGGTGTATGGTTTTATTTGGAAATAAGAACTGAAACACTTCATCGCTACAATCTTTTTGTTCGAAATTACATGATCTATTTATTTATCATTTGTTTAAAAAGTTTTTCTAACCTATAATTCATCGCAATAAAATATGAAAAAAAATTCAAATCAAATTTACAACATGTGTGCTGACCGGTGTACATAGTATAGCATGGGTTTTCCAAGAGAAATTTTGTCCTAACATACAAAAAAAGGAAAATAGATAAGGAACTATTTAGGTTGGGACAGATTCGTGAACAATTTTAATAAAATGGAACGGAAGCTAAGAAAGGCAATTTTGGCATTTTGAAGTAATTCAGGATAAACGAAAACAAATAGTCAAATAGTTTACGAATCTGTACGTGCAATCCTATCTCGAAATTCAATAGCGTATTTGTAAGGCGAAATTCACATCGTAATACGAGCATTTGCAACTGAGAATGACATGCACAGTCTCGAAACATGCTTTGTAGACTTAAAAATATTACTTGTTTTGTGCATGCTATTGTCATCATTATTCTGCTCTACTCATGATGGTTTTAAATTATGTTGTTTTTAGGTTAAAGGATACTTCCAGCAACCCTTTACTGACGGTCATTGAGGAGAGAGAACGTCTGCAAATAAACCAATAGGGCTTCTATGGGAAAACGACAAGACACACATCAGAGCTCAGAGGATTTTAGTTTAAAAAAGCGTCACCAAATTTGAATTTAAAACGAGTACAATGAAGGCGAATTTTTCAGTGGCTGAAAACAATTCGACTTTCCATGAAATACTTTGTTCATCCTACTTGACAAGTGAGCATCAATATATACTACTGCCCATAAATTTATTCATATCCATCACTGCTTTTCCTGGAAATGTCCTGATAATCATTGCGCTCCAAAGAGTATCTTCGCTTCATCCATCATCGAAACTTTTATTCATTTGCCTCGCTAGCACGGATGTTTGTGTAGGGGTCATATTGCAGCCTCTATACATAAGCTATTTTATGTCACCAGATAACTCTATTCCGTGTTATTACATTGGAGATGTGTCTTACATGCTAACTTTCATATTTTGCGGTGTATCCTTGCAAACATCGACTGCAATAAGTGTGGACAGACTTCTTGCCCTCTTACTGGGTTTAAGATATAGGCATACCATAACCTTGAAGCGAGTGTGGATCTTCGTAATTGCAGCCTGGTTTACAAGCATTTCGAATGCAATATTATACTATTACCAGGAGGCTGTTCCCATGTACCTCGCTTGTATAGTAATGTTATCGAGCATAACAACATCAGCATTCTGTTACGTGAAAATCTATCGTGTCCTTCTTCATCACCAAACACAGATACAAGAACATCCTCTTAAAGAAGTACCAAACCGAGGAAGCCGTCTGCTGAACATTGCACGATACAAGAAAACAGTTTCCAGTGCAGTGTGGATCCAAGCCGCCATACTGATTTGCTATCTGCCGTTTGTTATAATGACGACAATATATACTATCAGTGAGGAATATACGCCAATCATCGCCTTTCTTTTGGATTTGACAGTATCTTTCGTGCAGTTAAATTCGTCTTTGAATCCAGTCCTTTATTGTTGGAAAATAAGGGACGTACGACGATCAGCCAAGATTTCAATCAGACGTTTATTCGTCGCATGTTGTTAGCGGAGTCGAACGAAAAACTCTCAACCTGATTCGCACAACATGTGGGAAACAATGAAAAACAAAAAAATATTAAACTTGCAACAGCAAGGTTCATAAAAAATTGATATCTTGGCTGGAAGTTGTTGGATGGATCGAAGTTTTGTTCGACCGTAGGGAGCTACAACTCGCTCGACGTTCATGGAAATTTTGAAAGTTTGATTTCATTTCATCACCGTGATACAACTTTAAACATATTGTGGCGGAAAAGCCCAAGAGAGACAGTAAAGGAAAATAAACTCCATTATAATTTATGTTGGTAGATACTTTTACAAATCATAATCAGGCAATTCACGTTTATGGAAAGCAAAAATTAAAAGAACTGCGTTTGATGTAGGATCGAAATAAACTATAGTTTTAAAAAATAATTATTAAGGCATAATAAATAATGAATGACGGAACTTGTAAATAGAACTGAGATAATACATATACTGCATAAACATGTTATATCTTATATGTGAACTTGAAATTTATTTTATTTATTAATTTATTACTTTTATTGCCCTTTACATTATTCTCATTGAGTGCTACGGAAAGAAATGTGTGGTTCATCAAGCGGAGGCTGACAATGAATCTTGTCTCGCTTGGAAAATTTTTTTTACCTCAGTGCAAACGACTATTAGGTAGCAAACAAATGTTCTCGTCCCAGTATGGGTTGATGTTTTCTTAGGTATGTGGCTCCGCTGGCTTTCCATTGATCGACTTCGTGGATACTCTGAGGAAGGGTAGTCCCACCATAAATGCGGAGCAGAGGGGTGAAGGGCTACAACTCTCCCAAACGTGCATTTGAGGTGAGTGCAGTCTCCCCTCCCCCCCTTAACCCATGTTTCACTGCGAAAAATATTCTCTCTTAATTGACCCCCCTGGTGCTGGAAAAACTGACCGCTAAGGGGAGGTGATTGCTTCAGAGAAAAATAAATTTCAAAAAAGCATTCGATTTTGCTTTAAGACAGCGATTTACTCTTGCAGCTTTTATTTTCACCACACATTCAGTCGTAACTTCTATTTGACCCTCCTCATTACGGCGAGCTCCCCACTCATAAAGACCTCAAATTAATGGGTTCTAAGTGAACGGTTCTATCTAAAAAGCAGCCCCAAGATATAAGATATTGGCTTTGAAATAAGGTTGAGTCCATTCCTAGCTTTGAAATTGCATGACAGCCACCCAGTAAGATGTCAAGAGAAAAAATTACTCAACAAAGTAATTACATCCGACCAACACCAAATGAACAATTACACAAAAAACTTACAGGACTTTCACTGAATAATAATATGACAGAATTTAAAAAAGGCTCATTCTGAAGTTAACTCCATTTTTCTTCAAAACCCATTATCGCCAATCGAGCATTACGTAATTTTGTACTATCATAAATAACATATCATCCTTACCAATTCTCTCATGAGAATCTTTCACCGGCGCAACGAAGAACGTCTTAAAAGAGCTTTACTCGTCATCCACTTATGTTAAATGAAAGTAGAGATAGGTGAAAAACTATTATCGTCGGCTCCAATGCTCAACTTTACTGAAAAAGATGTCTTCGGGACAATGCCAGAGCCATTCTGTGTCCATGGGATTAACAGACTAGCCCAAAAAATATTGTTTCCCGTTGAAAATATTCCACTGTCACTAAGTGCAGTTTCTGCAAAACACATTATCGCCAATCGAGTATTACGTAATTTTGTGCCATCATAAATAACATATCATCCTCACGAATTCTCTAATATATAATGTTTATAATTATAGAATATAATGTTTCTCCGAATCCTTTGACAGGGAGAAAGATACTAAGAAATGCCGATGTCATAAACTGAGAAGAAACTCAGTCATAAACGAAACGAAGAGCATATTTTTCCAAGTATATAGTTACTGCTCTCTTAACAGATAAGGAGCGCCGGAAGGTGACACTTTCAACTTAGTATTTGTGCATTTTTATTTTTGCAAACTCTCTGCGTTCTCCTTTCCTCTAGAAGAAGCCAATCGACTTTTCTTCTAAAATCACTGAAAAGCTGCTTGAAAATGTAAAAACTGAAGAAATTAAGGTTTTCATTTAGTCTCATAATTAACGAGAGAGCGGATGATCACGCTTGGGAATTGGGATAGTTTTCACCTTCCGCTCAGATAAAACAATTTAATAAATGAAAATAATAACTAATGAACACTTATTCAAAATTGGAGTACTTCCTAGCGAAATTTTCATTGGCAACAACGGAATGACGTCATAATTTCCGGATATAAAGTGAGAGGTGATATTACCTGTCGGAGTAAGAACAAATACTGCTCTTTACCCGACGGATGTCTATTTACCAAATTGACAGGTGAGATTAATGCTTAACAAAAAAAAAAGAGAGAGAACTTGTATTATGCACGAGAACATCTTCAACAAGCATATCACAAATCATCGATCTCAAGTTTATGTTCTGAAGATCCGAAAATGTCAGAGAAAATGAATGAGGGTATGCTTTATTCAAGGAAATATTTTTAAGTTTTCCTCGCAACAATTTGATAAAAACCTAGTTAACAATGGAAGAATTGCCCCAGATGAAAAAAATTGTGATGAACCCGATTACTATGTGAACATTTTTAGTAAGTACTTGACATGTTCTATATTATGTCGATAGGCTTCCTCTCCCTCTTCAGCGTGTATACATTGCAGGATAAGAATGGGATATAACACAATCACCGCTCTTCAGCTACTTAGTTCCTTTTTGAATAAATGACAAGAAAAGCGAAATTTATTAACGAAGCTTATGTTTCGTCAAGTTCTTTTCAGGACAGAAATACGTGTATCTAATTTTGAACTGGTTTGAAACAGTAAACAATGAGAAAGCGAGTTTAAACGTTTTTTTTTTACGTCGTTTGATACCGAAAGAAATTGGCAGAAGTTCCAGGATTTTGAATCTAATATTCAAACATTTGTTTGGGAGCAGCTGTTAAATGCTCTGAAGGCTTGGTTACATTCTTAAATAAAAGTTACATAATATCCCTGGTTTTTTTCTTATCAGCACATAAGTCTTGATATTTCCATGAGAATCTTTCACCGGCGCAACGGAGAACGTCTTAAAAGAGCTTTACTCGTCATCCACTTATGTTAAATGAAAGTAGAGATGGGAGAAAGACCATTATCGTCGGCTTCAATGCTCAACTTTACTGAAGAAGATGTCCTCGGGACAATGCCGGAGCCACTCTGTACCCATGGGATTAACAGACTAGATCAAAAGATATTGTTTTCCGTTGTAAATGTTCCGCTGTCACTAAGTGCAGTTTTGGGAAATGCTCTGGTTATGATTGCTCTTTATGAAGTGACCACCCTTCGTCCTCCATATAAACTACTGCTGAGCTGTCTGGCGAGCACGGACCTGTGTGTGGGTCTCACGACTCAGCCATTATTCACTGTCCTGCTGTGGACCCAGGAACACTCAACTCCGTGTTTTGTGCTAAAGCTCATCGCTCACATCATGGCAACAATCTTTGGAGGGGTGTCGCTGGCCACACTCAGTGCGATCAGCATAGACCGACTCGTAGCTCTTCTGTTGGGTGTGCGATACAGGCAAGTTGTAACTTTGAGAAAAGTGCAGATCTGTGTTACCTCATTTTGGTTCTTGGGTGTTGCAATTTCTATTTTGTACTTTTACCATTTCCTTCTCCCTCTGGTCATCACTGCTATATTAATGCTGCTTTTCATAGTATCATCAACGTTCTGTTACTCGAAAATTTATTGCACTCTAAGCAAAGTGAAAAGTGATATCTACCCGGGAGAACCGAGGAGAATTTCAGTCCGTTGCCCACAGTTTACGGGGCGATACAGAAAAACAGTATCAAGCACATTATGTATCCAAGTTTCATTGGTATTGTGTTATCTTCCATACGGAACGCTCGTTATCGTTTTTGCAATCACTGGAATACAGTCGCCATCTTTGAACTTTGCATGGGCCGTCGCAGTAACTTTGGTTTTCTTTAACTCAACTTTAAATCCATTTCTTTATTGTTGGAAAAACAGAGAAGTGAAACAAGCAGTGAAGGAAAAGATAAGCCATATGTGCTTCTTCACACGCTAAGTGTCGGGCAAAACCATCGAAAGCAAATATTTTCAGCCTATATTTCAGGCCCCCATTCAAACCAGCTTAAAGCTGAACTGGGCCATAAACATCGCTAGTAAATAAATGAATAGAGAAAGAAGTATATTCCTTGCATGATAAAAGTTTCCAAACGTTCAAGGCTTTTTTTCTGAAAGTAGCGTTCTAATTTAATCTTTCCTTTACACTGTAAAATTAAAAGAGTTGATTTGGCCCCAAAAATGGGGCCAAAACGAGTGAGTCCAGTTTGGCACTCGCTTAGGGTCAATTCGGCCCCATTGAAATGGGGCTGTTTTTGGCACCAATTTTGGGGCTGAATTGACCCCGTTATAGGGGCCAAATTGGACCATGTGAAGGGTGAATTTGAAAAATAAAGGGGCCACTTTGAAATTTATAGGGGCCAAAACAGCCCCTGAAATTTCAGCCCTCCCACAAATGGCCCCTTTAAAAAGAGCCAATTCAGCTCCAATGTGGGCCACTTCAGAAGTAGAGGGCTCTTTCCTCTCCATGCTGATTTTCCCCCTTACATTCAAATAATGAAAATAAAAGCACATACTTTATCTTTCAAACACTCATTTATTAGGTTCTAGATATTGTTTATGTAAAAACCTTTTATGCTACCTGATTTTACAGTTATTAAGAATCTTAATTGTGGTATAAAACAGACAAACTTTGAAACATCAAGTGAAAGAATATAACATACATACATATTTAACATTAATTCAACCATTTTCTAAAATAGATCTCTTCCCTAAATCAGTATACTTCTTAACAGTGCAAGCATTGCAAGAAATTACACCCAAGAGACACTTGTGAGTAAAGCTTCCCTTTTCAATGACTTAGCAAATGTGGTAATGTAAAGCAGCTTATAATTAAGACTGATTTAAAGTACAGAAAATTATCAAAATAAGACAGAGGCAACAAATGGTCCAGTTCCTGCACAAGAATATAGATCTTGTTTGATTTGTGCATATGAAAAACAAAGAGCCTTAGAGCAGCAAAGAGTATTCTTCCAGTGGATGTGAGAATACATGCACTCATATTGCTACCTTAGATATTATCAAAATATAAACTATCAGCAAGTGCTACTGCAGGCACTTGCCAAGTCATTGAAAATAGAGGAAACAGTGACAAGAGTCTGCCTGTGCCCAATTTCAAGCAATGCTTGCTCTAAAAAAAGTCAAAATTGCCTTTGACCGATTGTAAGAGAATATAAATGAGCCAAGTAACCCAATGAGAGCATCAAGAATCTTTTCTTGTGAGAAATGACAAATTACACTTCCCTCTGTTACTATATTCAGGTGATTGATGTATTGAAGATCTCCAACAATTAAAATTTGTGCTGGACATAATCTCTGATTGCTGAATCAACATCAGCTACTCTATGCAATAAAAACAAGTTTTACAACCACATTAAAATCAAGCCAAAGTGCAAAAAGTGCCTGTAGCCAGAAAAAAAAAAAGAATATATATATACACACTTAAGTTAAAGAATTAAAGAGGACGCATCAATTCTCTGTGACTGAGTTTTGTGCCTAAGTGCTTGTCAGACAGAAAAGTTCTGTCTGACAAGCGTTTAGGTGCGAAATTCAGAGTCACAGAGAATTGATGTGTCCTCTTTAATTCTTTAACTTATGTATACTTAGCTCTGCTACCACAACATTGAGCACTTTATGCCAAGGTAGACTCTACCCCCACATTTACATATATATATATTGTTTTTCTAAAACTATAAGCTAAAACACCAGAAATGGAAGTGGAAGTTTAGCTCAATGTGTGTAATTTGTCTCCCATTCAAGACTTGAAAAACTAATGTATGACTCCCAAAATATCTGAAAAAAATCAGCTATTCTATGTCCAATATTTATCTAATGGTTTGACAACAGGAATATTTTAAAAAATTGCAAAATCAAAAAAACTAAACAAAAAGGCAAAATTAATACAACCCCAAAGTACTTGAACCTTTGTATCTGGACTTCATTGGCAAATGGGCTCAGAAATTTTAGCTGTTCATCTTAGTACCAAAGTAGCAGTTTTTGGACTTGTACCTCCAAAATGATCACAACTTCATTAAATGCATGTGATGACAAACACACAAGAACAAAGGTCATGAACTTAAAAGGTGAGAGTGATTATTTTGCAACTTTTTAGTTTAAGGCAAGAGATTCAGCACCACAAAATTGCCTCTCTTCACTGCAAGCAGAAGAGGTGAAGCAATAGATTTTTAGACCATACCAATCCATTCAGTTTCCAAGTCAACTTAGTCTAGTATCCTGCTAACCATACAAGGATACTCTGCAATAATTTTTTTTTTTTTTGCAATCCACTGTTGCTCAGAGTACTTTAGGCTGCTGATGAGATATCCCTTCTGGGTATCCAACTCTACTGAGGCAGAGAACTGTACAAAAAAACAAACAAATGAGCAAATTAATTTGTTGTTGGAGAACAGTAAATTTTTGCAACTACAAACTGTGCATAAGAAGTAAAAACACAATAATGGTGATCATCAATGATGTATTTTCACCAAACTGTATATGTACTTATCAAGAAAAGAAATCATACCTCTATGCACTTCAATTTTAGTTCAGTATTCATGAATAAATAAGGATTGCTTGTAGACTTAAAAAACAAAACAAAGAAAAGTTTCTTACCCTCGATGGTAGTTGGAATTTTGAAAGCCATTCAGGAGGAACCTGTAGGTAAATATTTGTTTTCAAAAAAATTAAACTGTCTGATAACATCCTATCAATTCTCTAATTTTTTAATTTACCAGATTTAAAAATTGGGTTTACTTTGTTTTATGCATGGTGCAAGTAAATACATATCTAATATATTTCAATAAAAATAAAGCAAATCTCGCCATTTTTGTAGGTGCAATCCCCGAGATTTGTCATCTTTAACTGACCAACTGGCACCTTGTGTATTTTCCTTTAGGATATAATCGAAAGAAAGTAATCGATAATGTACTCTTCACCATCCTGCTAAGTTTAATATACAAGAACTTACTTAGACAGTGCTCAGTTCTGTCGCCTCGTCCGTAAAACAGAGATCCTTGGGCGATTTACCCTTTTCTTTCGGTGCCAATGTCACCTCTTAATTTTCATAATCGCTGATGTTATCTGAATCATCAATCGACGTTTGAACCGTCTTACTCGAAGGACTTGATTCTGCACGCTGAAAGAGTGAGAGCCAAAAAATCAGCTTAAATGGATGCAAACAAAGACATAGACATAAAAATATCAGTTCATCTTTTCAAGAAAAAGATTAAGAATTCAGAGTGAGAGATCCTAAAATCTGAGAATCTTGAAATAAGTTAAATCCATCTTGTGCAAATGCATTATTCGAACTGTAACCGTTTCTATCTCTCGGCGCCAAAATTTGATCACGTGACTTTAGTTGCGAAACCGCTGAGACTCAACAAGACTCGCGAGAAGAGGCGAACCATTCATGCGTCAAATTCTCTGGTGGGAAAATTAATTATCGTACCGACGAAGAACTCGTGTCATCTCTAGGTTCAGCGTTCATTGCAATCAATTTCTTGAGCTTTAGACGCTCTTTTATAATAGGGATGTAGTGCCTTGGTAAGTCTGCATCTTGGGCGATTGCAAGGAGATCTTGGCCATCGCAACCGTCTTTTTCTGCAAGATAAGATACGAACAAAGATCAATGGAGCGGTCAAGTTTGTGAATGTAAAGTTGCAGTAAAATACGTTGTTAAGAAATTTCTTTTGCCTACCTTTCCTTTCTTAAGTCTCATTCCATGCGACTGTAGCCAAGAAACAGCCTCTTCAGCGACGAATTCGCTGCTATAATTCATTATTGTTTCTGACGCACGTGGTCTAGGTTCGACTAATGCCATCACAGGCAGCTCACGCTCACGTCTCGAGAAAATTTCGTTGTGTGACTCGGTGTTCAGTTACGAGAGGAACCGTTGAAAATTTGAACACTTTACAAGGAATAGTATAGGGAACGAAATATGGTCGAAAAAAGAAAATTATTTTTATATTTTCTTTTTTTTTTCAAAAATTGCACCTCGTTGGGGCCAAATTGGTCAATCCTACTTGGCTCTTGGAAGGGCCAAATTGAGAAAAAGTTCCAAAGTAGAATTCATAGGGGCCAATTCAGATTTTGGAGGGGTCGAAATGGTACCTGTGCCGCCCATTTTGGCTCAAATAGTCCAAAACGAACCTTGATGGGCCAAACTGGCCCTCGAGAAATTGGGGCCAATTTGGCTTTTGGGGTCAATTTGGCTCTTTTCATTTTACAGTGTACTTTGGCAAAGTGTAGGCCTTCTGTCTGCAAAGAATCTTACTGATGCAAATTTGAATTTCATCCACCGCAACCCCTTCCTCCCCAAAAAAATCACTAATTTAAAATTGCAGAAAAGTATATCTCTTAGCGTTGCTCTTGTCTTAGAACGTCAAATGGACACCAACATAGGTGTCGTCCATTAAGAGCATTTTTATATTGGTATTCATGCAGCAAACAACAACATTAAAGATTCGCTTTGAAATAAACCGCATCCACTTCAATCATAGCTGTGACCTGAATTTTCTGAAAATAGATCATTATGACAATAAAGCTGAACTACTTAGTCAGTTGAAGTATTGAATCTTTTAAGATTCAACGTTTTAAAAAACGTTGAGTGTTATTTAACAAATTACAACAAATTGCATGTGGTAATATCGTGATGGCTAAAACATTTGTGGCCATCTGTCGGTGGCAAACTATTTCTTTTAATTGGTGAACATGGCTTTCTATCACTTTATCCGATTTACCTCTAAAACTCTATATTGGCCCCAGAGCTCTGAAAAGAGTGACTTAAAACCGGAACTAACCACATGGAAATGATATGACACTATGTTCAAACGAATAAGTGATAATAATGACCGAAAAAACCATGGATTTGTTTTGCACATTGATCCTCCAGGAAAAAGCTGTAAAATCTAAAAAAAAATGATCAGCTCCCAATTTTTAATTGTTATATGTATTGGGTGAGGAATTTTCACGATATTTCTTAATTACAAAGATTCCTCGCCATGGCATGATAACTGCGTGAATTGTTTATGTTGCATCCTTTCTCGATGTTTTCATTTCTCTTTATTATTTTCATGACATTATGGTTATGATTGTTATTTTTTTATAGTTGAGGATATATTCTTTTAAAGCTAATCTAAGTCCAGAAGTGTTAAGAAACAAACTACAAAAAGGAGGTCACGATTAAGAGCTTTCTTTCAGTTTTAAGACTGAAACAGCAGTGATTTTATAGTCCTTTAGCTTTAAAAATCAACTTGCAATTAGGTAGGTTTTTCAGCGGTTTGACGAGGACATTCCACATCCATATACGTCTACCCTTTCTGTCCTGTGAACTCCAATCGTATGTTAAGGTTCTGATCTCTTCGTTTGCACAGGTGGCGATCAATTTGAAAGCTTCAGTCACGTGGAGTGTTTGAAAAGTTAACAGTGGACAAAAATAAAACACACACACATTAGAAACTTTGAACAACAATTCTCCAGGAGAGGTAGCAAGGAGAAGAAATATGATGTTAGCAAACGAAAAGAAAAGGGAAATGTTTTACAATAAAACGCAGACCACTGCGCTCATTTAAGGAATAGAAGGGGTTCGATACACAAACTATTGGTTTTTTGTTTTTTTTTTTTTTTTTTTTTCAGTTGCGGTGTTTACCTTTGTCATGTGGTTGAGACATTTATTTACTCAGCCAGCCTCTCCAGCTCTTGATTTCGATTCGGGATAAACCTAATAAGTGTTCTGAGACTTAGGTTTTGAACAGTGAAGTTTATAACGTAGATCAATCCATCGGCAAATCCGTCATGGTTGTTTCATTCAAGAGAAAGTTGCGAATACCTTCGTCGCGATTGAAATGTAGGTTGTCTTTCGAAAACAAGGGTACTAAACCCTCCTGGCTGTCATCACTGGTACGAATTTGTAACTTATGTACTGACTACACGAATTTCAGTCAAAGTGCTCAAGATCAGTCGTATTGGTAAAGACAAGCTGCATGGTCATGTTGGTTTTGAATAACAGCTATCAATTTGTAAAATATAACACAAAAGTGTATTTTTCATACCTCTGAGATAATAAATATCTGTCGCAGCTTTTTCCAATATACAAAAAAAGATTCATCAATTTATCAGCAAAATCAGAGATAGATTTGAACATTCAATATTGTCAAACATTATTTCCTGTATGTCATGCACGATAAGAGGTTAGTTATTACCTTTCATTATAACAAAACAACATAATTAAACAGAACGAATGCTATGCGTGTTCTCTGCCTCACTGAGATTCATTTGAGACGCTCCAATCCTTCTCACTTTAAAGAAATCTCCCAAGATAATTTAAGAGAGGAAAGGTGGTACGTTGAAATACGAAATTTTTATAGAAAGAATTAAAATGATGAAAATAATTATGTTGATTGATCTGATAATAATAATAAAAAAGGGACTTAACCTAGTGGATGATACTGCTTAACCCTTTTCAACATAGTACTTAGTATATTTGACGGTGGGTTTTCGCAAAGTCCGTGAAATGTCTCTTTAGCGTAGGATCATCATAAAATCTGATAGAACAAGAGCTTTTCAGTTATTTCGAACCCAGATTCTTTTCACTTGGGGATACAAATTTCTTTATTTGGATTAACAAGGAAAGTAAATGACAATCCTAAGAGAAAAACAGACGTTACTTTTCAGGATTTTCATCAGGTTCTCCTTGGTGTACTTTCGAAAGTGGTAAAGCGAGTATATGAACCAGAAGTAAATCGATCGGACTGGACACATATTCCTACCTTGCGACCTGGCTACATCACTTTTCTTCAAGGATAATTTTTTACGCTAAAAATCTTTGCTTTTACTTTCCTTTAAGATCTATATGACAAAATAATTTCACTTACATGTGCTGCGGTCAGACTTTCAGGAACCATTCGAGTTGAACATCCTTGCTTGCATCTAATAGAATACATCATGACCAGCTCCCAGTTGGCTTGTTAGCTCAGTTGGAAGAGCGCTGCACCGGTATCGCAGAGGTCATGGGTTCAAATCCCGTACAGGCCTGAATTTTTTTTCAGGCCTTATTTTCACTACTGCCCAAGTAATGTACATTACTGCGAGGATCACTTTCATTCATGTCTTTATCCGCAGTTCAAATATATGACCTTCATATATTCTTAACCGTTTCGAATCATAATAACCAACTATGAAATCCAAGGAAAAATATCTTCAGACCAACACGGAAGCTTTCGATATGATCGGATAATTTTGTTTCAATTTCTATGCAACAGACAGTGACGGATTAGTGCGCTCACCCTTTAAATGCACCTATGGATGAATATGAAAGAATAAGTTGGCAACAGTGAGTTAATCACATTTAGTGTGTTAGAAGAACGTGAGCCCTTCAGAAAATGAAACTAAACAAAACTTTCCAGAGACCGGGAGAAGGAGGAAAAGGGAAGGGGTTGTCTTAAACGTATACAATCTTTAATCTCTTATTTTTTTCTATCTTTATGTCGTCAAGAGTTACAGACAGCGACAGGCGGGTGCGTTGGGTGCGTTTAACACTTTCGCTTCAATGTCGGTGAAAATGGTGGATAGAGATCCACCTTTTCGGTGAGGATTGTTCATCACCTCATCCCTTACTCGAGTAATGATATTTTGGCAGGTCTCGTTGCTTAATATAATTTTTCTTTTCGACGATTCACAGCAGAACACCTATTGTGCGAGGAAACGACCTAAAATAAAAGCGAAAATTTGCACGTTTCAAATAGTTTTCAAAACCATCTCTAATCAAGGCCAACTTTTAGGAATAGGTTATAATTAAACGTAAAGTCTTGTTACACAATATTTCGGACGATCAACTTTAAAGCCAAACAGCTGCAAGGAAACTCGTACTCTACTAAGGAATAAAACAATTTAAAATAGAGGAATCAAACAAACGAAACGACATATTAATTAAAGCAATAGTCAACTGTTGCCTAAAGTTTGTTTATGAGAGCGTTATTCTTCATTTCGGTTTGATAAATGTAGATAATGAAATTTCAGCTGTCTCTCCCATTTAGCACGATGACCGAAAACGCATC